AATTACAAAAACAGAAATAAAATAGGGACAAAATAAGACAGGAACACGATTGTGAAATTGTCAAGCAAGACTACAGACTGTAGTGTCTTGCTGCCGTAGTTTCTTGTAGTACTTGGGCAACGGTCGCATTCTGAACCATGACCAAAGTCTGATAAGCACCACCAACGAGATCTGCCTGCATCCATCCTTGATATAGGCATATAGCGTAGCACCACATTACTGTTTAAGCACTTCTAATTTCACATACAATAAGTCGTCGTTTCATTTGCTTATCCAGGGACATCAAACCACAAAATCTTCTATTAAGTGAAAATGGCGAACTAAAATTGGCAGATTTCGGTAAGCTGGTTACATTGTATTGTATAATCTGTTGTGAAAGAAGTCTTCACCATCATCTTCGTTTAGAGTTCATCTTCATCGTTGGACTTGCGATGATCCTCCACCATCTTGCTCGATCCATTTTGACCCTTCTTCTATTTTTAACAGTACACTGTGGTGTTCTTCGTATTCTCTTTGGTTTTCCAATACACCAATTGGAAATGTCAACTTTCATCAACTCTCATGCAACTGTTGTTCTCGTTTGACCGGTCAACGAGAGTTGAGGGAACTCTCATGCAAACTTTCACTTCTCAACTCTCATCTTCGTTTAATCGGGGCTTCAGTTTAACATTTAGTGGTTTTAATTCTTAGGTTTAGCAAGAGAAAAATCTGTACCAAGTCACACATATTCGAATGAAGTTGTTACTTTATGGTGAGTTATCACACCACTGCATTTGGAAAACATTCTGTTTCGTTTTTGAAGTGATTAAAACTTTTAAATTGTTTTCTCATTTCCAAATATTCGTTCAGGTATAGACCGCCAGATGTTTTATTAGGATCAACTGAATACTCGACTTCACTTGACATGTGGTAAGTAAGGAGAAATCTAGAAAAGTCTCAAACTTATGCTATCAAAATAGCACATTGATGAATCTCCTTCAGGGCATAGATCCTCGTAGTTAATCAGGACATGGTGTCCAAAAATACTGCGGGCGCAGGCGAAAGAACCATATCCTGATTAACTCCGAGAGCTGTCCGAAGACGTCCGAAGAACAATTGAAAGAATAACTAGAGAGGTTTAGTAACTTTCACTAAAAGTTTCACTTTAGGCTTCCTAGGGAAAACCTTAGGAGTTCTAAACTGATAGAGCTATCTTAGCCTATCTAGTTTAAATAAACTTGATTATCTTTACAGGGGTGTAGGATGTATATTTGGCGAAATGTTGAGTGGTCGAGCTTTGTTTCAAGGGCAAAAAGGTCCAAGTGATCAACTTAATAAAATATGGCAATTATTGGGAACGCCGACCAAAGACTCGTGGCCTGAGGTCGTAAATTATCCCGAATATTCAAAAGGTTAGGAAACAACATTTCTCATGGTAGATAGCCCCACTTGATTTGACGGCGAGCAAAGAGCCAGGAACTAGCAAATGCCTGCAGAGGTCAGGGGGGGGGGGGGTTACAGAGCAAGCGGTTGCTGGCTAACAACTCCCAAAATCCTGTGGAGCCAGCTATCGATCTAAGTTAGTTGATTGGAGTTAATAGCTGCTAAATTCCATTCGAAGATTGGCGTCGTTTATGAAACTATTGAAACTTTGTAAAGCGTCAGTTCAAAACGATTATTGTTAATGTTGGATTTTCGATTTCTCCTAGGAAATCAAACTGCATTTTACCCAAGACGAATTTGCACAATAATACCCGTGTGAGTATATTTTAACTGTTTATTGGTTGAGCTGCAATTGTTTTGGGCTCGAAAGATTTTAGTGATTTTTGTTGATTATGTCATTTCAATGAGCTAAGGAATATTTCTTTCTGAAACTGTACATAATTTCAAAAACTTTAGGTTTCAACATGACTTGGTTGGAGAGGATTTATTAAAACGATTTCTACGGGTAAGACTTGACATATTTACGAAACAGTTTTTTTTAAGATTCATATATCACTGGAAAATTTGCCGGAAACATTTCAATATACTTGTGGAATTCAGCTTCCAAAGTTTTGGACTCGTGCACAGTACAGAAATTTTCTATTAAATCAAAACCACAAAGTATGAAAATGTTTCACATTTTCCAGTGATATCCTCTTCAGAATGGTACAATATGTCTACTTTTATCATGTAGTACGAACCGAAAAGGCGAATTTCAGCAGAAGATAGTCTTAAACATCCATTTTTTCAAGATCTACCGAGAGCACTCTTTTGTCTACCGGGAAGTAAGTATACTGAACTGAACATATAGTATTTGTATCGGTAGCAATGGTTCATTGTTACCACGGAAGCTAGGAAACCTAAAACTAAACTGCACTCTCTTCACATGCGACTGAGGCGAAATTCTAATCTACAACTACATGCATGTATTCTAAATATAGAATCCCAAGCTATCAACAGAATAGAAAATATACAGCGGTACCTCATAATCCGATTAGTTCAGTTGATGTGAATTAGAGATTAAGATTGGTGAATGTGAAATTAGAGAATAGAGATTAAGATTGGTGAATGTAAGATTAGAGAATAGAGATTAAGATTGGTGAATGTAAGATTAGAGAATAGAGATTAAGATTGGTGAACATGAATTTTATGTTCTAGGACTTTCAGTATTCTCCCTTCCTGGAGTAGAGCTCGTTCGTCATTGATGAGCGCACCAAGTATTCAAAGGTAATAATATAAGTTGGCCATTCTTTCCAACAGGTTTATGTGCACTGCACACAGAAGGCTACAGTATATAGTTTCCAAATTATTGAACTGATATTGAAGGATTTTGTAGATGAAAATTTCATCAGAAGATAGTTTATAAAACATCCATATTTTTAAGATCCACCAAGAGCATTCTTTAGTCTGCCGGGAAGTAAGTTCACTAAACTGAACGTGATTTGTACTGGATGGCTCTATCAATTTTAAGTAACGTTCGACAACTGTCTCTTTGTAGCCTCAGTTGAGCGCTGTAATGGGGGAATCGCAGAGGACCTATAGTTGAATTTTTCGCAACTGCTCAAATTTCCATCCACTGAAAACCTTGGAGACTATAGTTTCTACTTTTATGTAGTAATGTTCGTTTCTCTTTGAATTTTCAGCTTACAAACATGCCTTATTTGGTTGTCGTGAAGAAATGGGGAAGAGAACATATTTAAGTGATTCATGGTTGTTTATTTAATATTACCATAAAAAACGGGGGGACCCCTGTTCTTATTTATACACTCAATTTAATGATGTGAGCGTGATCTGTATATGCATAGAAAAATTTGGTTAACGTTTGTTTATACCCAAAATTCACATGCCTGGTTAATATTGTTCTAGTTTACAAAAGGCAGAAGCAGGGATGTCGTGACCAACATGTCATGTTTTGACCAACATTTCCTAGGATTTTGACCAAGTCGTGCAAATTTTTCCCGAAAATGTTGTTGGCGGGGGGGGGGGAGGCCAAAAAATTTCCGTTCTGACACGAGCATAGTCAAAAAAAAGTTTCCGGACTAACATGAACATATTCAAATTTTTTCGACCAAGATAAGCAAGGCTTCCAATTTTTTCACCGCAAACATAACAAAAGCTTTAAAATTGTCGACCATTTCATAACTTTGAGCAGCTTCGACCATCTTTTATCCCAAACTTTGACCAAATTTTTCCGAGTTTTACCTTCACAATTTTAAGCAAATATCAGTTCCATTTTGACCAACGTTTGAATTACCACCCCCCTATAGCGACGTCCCTGGGCAGAAGCAAAGAATAGAACAAAGTAAGCTTTAGAATTATCTAGACGAGTGAATAACTCTTGTACATAACTGGTCATAAAGTAACTGCTAGGGTGGGCTGGAGGTAAATCACAAATTTTGCCAATACGTTCTGTGACCCATCTTAGGATGTAAATAAAAATTTCAAAGCCCATCTAATCTTACAAAAGATTTTTCATGACCCACCCAATCTAAATTGGGCCAATACACTTTTATAATAAAAAAAAAACTTGCAGGTATGAACATTGTAAATATACACGGAACTGTATTGACATACATAATTCCACCAAGCTTGATCAACACGTTGATACTGAGCTGCTCTCCAGTTGGTTGTATTTGCTGTGATTCGACCACTTGTTGTTGTTGTTGTTGTTGTTGTTGTTGTTGTATAAACAAAGTACTGGCTTCAATAGCACCATTTGGATAGTTTTGTTTACTTTTATTATTAATATATTTATTTTTTGAAGTAGACATGCATGGGTTTTTGTTTGGTGGCCCAACCGTGGACATACAAAAACATTGGCAGCTTATCGAAACTGCCCAAAGATATATTTTCCATGGCCCATCCCAAATCACTCCAGCCCACCCCAGCAGTTACTTTATGACCGGTCCCTTAGTTACCGTTGTTCTATTTCATGCTTCTATAACCTAGAACTATTGTAACTGGACATGCGAGTTATAAAATTTAAAATGGAAAAAAATGTTAGCCAAATTTGTCTTGAGGCCGTGGGGGGGGGAAATGGCCTTGACAACCCATAAAAATAATAAATTATTTATTATTAAATAATATTACAATGTTAGCGTACACGCCTCACTTTCGAGTTTCGACACAGATGATATATTTAGGTTTATATTTGAATAAAATAGAGAATATATGAATTGTACACATTCTAGAGATTATTTATTTAAATTATTAAATAATTGCACAGCAAATTAAAAGGTCTGTCATTTTGTTGTCTTCATGGAAAACGGGTGGCAGATGCCGTTGGCAGTGACATAAGGTGTGTCCTTTGCAATACACCCCTTCCGGAAAGTATGTCATTGTTGGCTATAGATCCTCTGATTACCACACGTTGGAATTTGAGTAATGTCACATATCTATGGCCCAAGTGACGGTGCTTTGCGGAGGGGGGGGGGGGGGGGGGGGG